AGGGGTTTCCGTCCCTCCCTCCGTCTGTCTGGCTGGTGCGCACGAAGAGGGCGTAGATATATTATAATCGTTAAACTTAGATCGAGGTCGGAGATAATCAATATCGGTATACTTCTTCAGGGACCTCCTCTACAAAAGGCCAATATTTTCACAGAAAATAATTCACTGTATAGAACCAGAAAGGATAAACTAATTTTATGCAAACTTTTGCAAATCCTTATGTTTGTATCAGTACTATGTCAAGTGAGAAAATGGACAATATCGGTCCACTCCATCGTGCACCCTTTGTGTGTCAAAATTGAAGCTCAAAAAAAACGTGAAATTCCAATAATCCAATATTTTTACTTACACAAGATTTTCTGTGAATATGATAAATGTTGGCCAAACCGTTTTGGTACCTCTCCCATAAAAAGTTATTTTATAACTAGCGAAACAAGTAATTTATTCCTCAAATAACTAAATATTTCTCTTAACCAGAGATCTGATGTGAACATAGAATTTATAATGTTGGTCTGCGGTATTTTGGTGATCGACACTTTGGTATTTTTTAGTGCCAACCTTACTTTCCATAATACTCCAGACACAATAGTCCAACAGAATGGTATCGGGAGATTTTGGTGGCCATTGTGCGCTGGAATGTAGCGTGGATGGTGCGTACTGAATGCGATGGTGCTGAGTCTTGTTGGAATGTCCAACGTCTGCGGCCAAAACGTATTTGAATATTGTAATGGCCTGGGACAAAAAAAAAGATTACTATGCAGGTCCACGTCTTCGTATAGACCCCAATATAACGGCTATATTCGGTATTTTTAAGAATTTAGAAGAATTTTTAACGGCTTTTATTTATTTATTTATTTTTTTTTTTTGAAAATTTTTTCCAAATGGTGAAGGTTATTCAATGTTCGGCCCGGCCGAAATTAGTGCTTTTTTACTTGTTTTGATTCATTTGAGGGTTAAAATTGTCGATCAACATAATCCGTTTGTTCTTAGTAATTTTGCTGACGATATCTAAAATACAAGAATTCCAAGTAATCTTAATCCAAAAATTTCCAAAGCTGTTGACATTGCCATGTAAAATTTCAAAACGCTATCTTCTACGTTAACGAGTTTGTCTTCTAATTATTTTTTGTGTTGTACAGTGTAATTTCAGTTTTCCCCATGACTGGGGTCATAAACAGTTCGCAATATTCTACTGTCAATTTTTATTTAATGAAAATGTTCTAATTTTTCCTGTCTAACTTTGCCGAGAGACACGAGTGACACCGTCTAGGCAGTCATGAAAGTGAAGCAGTCAAAGTTATTACGTAATTTCAAGCAGACTTTTGGCGCCAAACTATAATTTGTTATTCCATTATAAACGTTGAACTAACCAATACAAAAGAAAATACATAAATTTCCCCCAAAAATGTCTTTCATAATTGATATTTCCCTTCCTTAAAAATAAATAAAAAAGGATTCTTGATTCCCTGTATTTTTTATGGATTCATGAACATGTGTCTTTCCATGCTTACGCCTTTAAACCTAACTCCTTGATTCCATACACCACCTCGCCATTAAACATATTTCATTCATTTACTCGTTTGACTAGCAAACGACCTACAAAAGCAGAACGTTAAAAAGCATACCAAAGCTTCTAATGAATATGCACATTTGCGGAAATGTATAAGAGAGTTTCTTTGGGACAAACTCTTGCAGGGATTACAAGTGTTATTCCACCACATTGAGAAGCTAAAGGTAGGAGTATGAGTTCCACTTAGATGTTTTGTAACTATAGTATTGAAGAGGAAAAAGAGAGTGTATGACATGGAGGGGAATTGGAACTAAAAACGACCTACAGTTAGCGTGTTATGTTTACATTAATTTTTACAGTTGTCGGTCGGGCTTTTGTATTCCCTTGAGCCCACCATGAAGTTTATTGTCGCGCCCAAAAGAGACTTGTGTCCATTCTTGTGTCCATTCTTGTAGACTTGTGTCCATTCATTATATGTTTCAAAATTGGAATAGTTTTGTGGAACTTATGCCTGTGTGTGGCCGGCCCAGCTGCCTAGCCTAGCCAGCCTGCCTGCCTACCTATTATATAGAGCTCTTAGCGCGCCCTGTTTCTATTCGGCTTTTATGAGACACTCATTAGTAGTCGTAAAAAACTAGGTAAATGAGGACATGACATTAATGTATGCAATCGAAAGGCATGCACACACATTTGGATGAAGAAACCGCGTAGAATACACACTTCTCTTACATAAATGAAAATGTGAAAAATATGAGATTATAATAATATGCATGGGGATGTGTTTTTGCATTTATTATTTATGTTTTTTATGCGAAATGATTTAGTTTTATACTCTGTCATGGAGATTCTATACTGTATGTGTAAATAAACTAGGCAACAAAATACCCATAAATACATCGCCAAGTAACCTATATAGGGGGGGCATGTTCCCCCTTCGTCCACATTCTTTGAGATTGTAGGATTGAGATTCCTAAATATAGATATACAGTGTTATTGGCAATATTACTGATTGGCAAGTCCATTGGCGAAAAGTCCATCTTAAAATGTTGGATTAGTTCCAACCGGCCATTTGAATACTCAAAACAAATTTATTTTTAAATCAAAACTTCATACATCCTACTAAATTCTCAGACTTTCTTGATTTTATGTATTATTTTTTTTTCGGAGAGTATAATTGGAAAATAGTTAGCTTTCACACAAAAGGCAAATTCAAATTAGTATAACCATTACAAAATGGACCAACATCCCAATTTTCGGTCCAAAAAAATATTACAACATGTCCATATGTAAATCCTTGGAACAACAGAAACCTTAATGTCAAATTTCAGAATTCCGTCTCCATCCCAACACCCAACGGCAGTTAGATCTTTTCGCACGTTCATAGTTCGAATTTCCAAACCACTTTCTTCTCTCAACTAGAAAACCCAACATTGAAATCCATATCCAATTTCAGGATTTCAACTCTATCGCTTCATCCAATACCAAATTTAGTATCATTTAGTTCTTTTTGTAATATTAGGGTATGCATTTTCAAAACAATTTCCATATCTCAACAAATATTGTTTGGTACCATTCACTACTTTTCGAAAAATTATAGTTCACATTTCTGAAACTACCTCCATATCTCAAACCCAGAACCGGCAGAGACCACAATATGAAATTTCGGGATACCAGCTCTATTCCTTGATCCAATACAGAATTTAGTACTTTTCGAACAACTCCACCTTCAAATTGAACCTCAAATACCAAAAGTTATCTAAACATCAAATTTCAGAATTTTCACCTAATACCACCAAATGGTACAGTTTTAAAAAATTTGTACCATTTTAGAACTTTTCGAAACTTTTAATTTCGGATTTCCCAAAAACGCTTTGGTACATCTATCTTCAGTGACTCTTGCTCCAATGTTCAGAATTCCAACTCTTTCCATTTGTCTAATACAAATTATTCAAATTTTAGTACATTTTAGTACTTTTCCTACCCTTCAGCCATTTCGTTTGAGCGTTGTTTGTAGGACAGTCAGTTATTTCACTACATTTTTTTTATATATTACCGATAAAATGTTAATCCTCAAGAATGTCAACAAAGGGGTCTTATTGGTCCTCTCTGGAAAATATGGCTAAAACCTCCCTTTACATGGGATCGTCAATATACAGGGTGAGGTGAAAAAACTGCAACCAACTTCAGACTGCTGTCATTTCTAAGCCACTCGTCCGACAGCTGTTAAAATTATTCCAGTGACAGCTTATTATATTGTTTACAAGCGTACCAAAGCATTTTGTTGAGAATCAGCAGAAATGGTTCGAAAAGTAAAGAAGCGACTTGATCGAAACCCTCGTCGCAGTGGCCGAAAAATGGCTCGTGAGCTGAACATATCGCAATATTGCATTCGGTAAATATTGAAAAATAAGCTTACATCGCAACAGAAAGAAAATAGACTCAAAAGAGTTGCTTCGCTTGGCCGAAAGTGGTGAACTGCCGAATGATGAGAAAACAGTCGTTGTCCAGCAGTTTGTAAACAAACAAAGTTATCGTGTTTACTTGCCAAAGAGGTCAGCTAAAAATGTGCACCTTCGGTTGGCCACCAGAACTCAAGCGCCGGTCATGGTGATGGTGTGGGCCGCCATAATAGCCGATGTTTGCTCTCCACTCGTATTAATCGGCATCAGAATAAATGCCGAATATTATCGGAGGGTGTATGAAAGCCGCAAACTTTTTGGCCGCAGATCTTGGACATTCCAAAAGGACTCAGCACCATTGCACTCAGCACACGCCACCCAAGAATGGTTACAAAAAGAGGTACCTCGCTTCATTTTCAGGGCACAATGGCCACCAAAATCTCTTGACTATTGTGTCCGTTGGACTATTGTGTCTGGAGTAATGTGGAGTAAAAAAAATGTAAAAATGATGGCGTTTGACTTTGTTGCAGTTTTTTATCTCACCCTGTATTATACAAAATTATTTGTCATATAATTCTACTATAAGTTGGAAGAAGTCGAAATCTTACCTTAACGGCTGGGAAAATTTTGGGGTTAACGTCGTACTTCATTTGAGTTTATATAAATTCTCCTGCAAAATATCAATTTTGATGGATGACGCCAAAGACAAAAATTTTTGAATTTCATAATAGATCAAGAAAATTTTAGCATCAATGCTAAAAAAAAATCCTATTTTTTTTGATAAGTCTTTCTTTTTTTTGAGAAAGGACCAAAAGAGACCCTTTGATGACTCGCTCGAGGGTTAAAAAATGTGACCAAAATTATCCTTGTATTGAGAAATATTGCTGATATCCACCATTTACCATAATAACAAAAAATCTTTATCCAAAAAATTAAAAAAAAAAATATATATATATATAGTTGTCGGCAAACATTCCAAATTTCTACGTATTCCACATTCTACATTATTCCTTCTGTATTCTCATTTATTTTTCCCTTTCATTTGTTAATATCTTAATTCCTTATTTTCCATTTATTTCTTCTCATTACAGGGAACAAATATTGCGCGTTAAAAATGACGAAAGCATACCATTCCTGTTGGTTGGTAACAAATGCGATTTAAATGGCATACGCAGAGTGCCCCTGGCCGAGTGTCAGCAACGAGCCCAGCAATGGCAGGTGCCATATGTGGAAACGTCGGCTAAAACACGTGAAAATGTCGATAAGGTATAGTTAAGACTTCTTTTGATTTTTGGAGTTTCTTTTCATACTTCCCTCTCCCAACTTTTAACCATATTGTTCCCTTCCTCCTCCAGCCCATCCTCGATGAAATCAACTCTTTGTTGTAATTTCAAATCGAACAAAAATAGGGAAACTTTTAAGAGAAATTTTTGTATTTCATTTCCTTGTATTTTTTTCTTGTTGTTGCTTTTAAGTTTTATTTATTTTTTCCTAAATGCAGCTAAATTTGTTGTTGTTTTCTTTTGAGTTTTGTTGCCATTCTTATTGTTTTTTTATTTTTATTGTTGTTGTTGTTGCTTTTATCATTATATAAAGATTGTTGTTTGTTGTTATTGTTGATGTTGCTCTCTTATCCAGTGAAACACATTTGATTGTTCTTTTTTTTCAGTACCAACAAACACATACACACCTCTTTATTTTTTGTTGTGTATTTCGAACCCCCTTTTTCAGTTTCATTTATTTGTTTTGTGTTGCATTAAATTCTCCCCTACACTTTCTTGATTTGGAAATGCAATATTCTTTTCGTGAAGAACTACACTGAAACGAAATAAAACTGCAATTGTGTTGTCACTGGTCTATAGTCCATTATCTCATTACCGTATTCGAATTCATAACCAGTTTTTTTTAATTTTTTGAAAGGACATTACACCATACCTGCATGACATGCGCGTACAGAAAAATTGGAACAACGTCTGGAAATATAATCAGTTAGGGTAATAATAAATTAATAATGTTAAATAAGTATTTTGAAAAATATAGCCAAGAGAAACGAAGTAACTTAAATCGGAGGTATCTGCATATATGAGCTCTATACCAAAACATGGATCTATATTGATAACACTGTGCGGCAAAATTCATTTTTTTTTGAAAGAGCAGGTAATTTGTTAAATTAAACTACTATCCAGTAGTTTATGAAAGTAAATAAAATATTTGGCAGACCCCAAGTCTTTTTGGGCCAAATCCATTTCAGGCCATTGGGAGTCGATCTAGTGTGGCCCATCCACCTGTCTGTTTGGGAGAGTGGTGCATGCAAAAACTATCGAAGGGAGTATGCGATTTTGTTAAGATCGAGTTCAGAGATGGGCAATCTCGGCCCACTCCTTGTGGTACCTCTTCCACTAAAGGTCAAAAAAAATCATTTTCCTCATAGAAAGAGAAAGGATATTTAGATTTCGTTCTAAATTAGTTAATGCTATTTTTTGTACGAGAACTCTTACAAAATGTAAAATTAGAGTCTCTACATAGATCTGGTATGAATATATGATAGAACGGACAACTAATTCTGGTACCTCCTCCACATTGGATCAAAATTTTGAATAAACTAGACGTTCAAAAATGCGAAATGAGCATCCGATTCTTTTGAAATTTGGCATAACCTCTTTTTTAACCCAACATAAGATCTAGTGTGAAAACGAGACATTTCGGTCCACAAATTCTACATTCTAATATGTATAGCAACACAAGATCTGGTGTAAAAATATCATAAAACGCAACATTTTTTCTGGTACCTCCCTCACAAAGAGTCAAAATTTTGAATAACCAAAACGATCATAACGCTCAAAATTTCGTATTTGGAGCTCGTAATGGGAACTATGGTCTATCACAGCAAAATTGTCTATGGCCGTCCAAGTCTTCGTACAGGCCCGATATAACGGTACCTCCCTATATTCAGTACCAGAGGTACCAGATTTGATGTTTTGAGCTACATTATTCAACGGATTTTTTCAAGTTCCATTTTTGAATATTGTAATGGGTTATGACAAAAATTGTCTATGCAGGCCCACGTATAGACCCCAATATATTCGGTATTTTCAAGATTTTAACAGCATGGATTTTATTATTTTGAAAATTTCCAAATTGGTTTCCAAATTGGTGGAGGGTATTCAAAGTTCGGCCTGGCCGAACTTACTCCTTTTTTACTTGTTAGTTCTTCTTTCATAATCAACTGAGTTATTCCCATAATTATTTATTGTGTTGCACAGTGTAGCTGTTCTTGTAATAGGAGGTAATCTTTGATCTATAGATTGATACTCCCTTTAGTTAATAAATAAAATGTTCGGAATTTCTACTAACTTCTCTGTCGATAAGGACGGAATATTTTAGTCATCGTAAAGTTAAATATTCTATGTTAATTTCATGCCTTGGCGATTATATTTCATAAGTTTTCTTATTTTTTATTTTACAAACACAATGCCAGTTGCAAGAATTTCACGTTATGAATTGCTTTTTAAAATACACTCAGAAAAACTAAATTCCAACAAACAATACACCCAAAAACATAATACTTTTTATCCTAATTATAGGAACACACACACACAGCCGAAATCGTTACGTTCGTATAAATTAAAAACTCGTCAAAATTAGAAAATTTTTTATAATATTTAAATGAACATAGAGTAAAATCACACACCACCCAGCACATAGTAGGCCCCAGAATGAAAACTTCTTTTTGCATGATTTATTTCCCCACGATTTGGGGCATTGTTGGTGAATTTAATTAAAAGGTTTTTTGTTTAATAAAATAGCAAAAAGTTCCACCCTTTATGTTTCTGTACAATTTTTAGATTTTTTTAGATTTACTTTTTTTGGTTCATTCTAACTTATGATTTGCTGCAAATTTAGTTTACACCCTAAAACTAGTAAAAAATGATTCTTCAATTTTAGATTCTTGTTAAGATACCAAGAATTTTAGAGTTCTTAGCTATAAATTGCTTTAATATGTTTTATCCATTTAAAATAATATAATTTCTATCCTTTTTCTCTCTCTCTCTCTCCTTTATTACTCTTCCGTAACGTGCTCTAAAATAAACAAACAATCAATCTACTTACCACTGCATTACAAATTTTCTTTGTCTCTCTCTTTTGCTTAATCCAAATACAAAAAAAAACACGATTGATCGGTCGATCGATTTTGCCCGTTCCATCTGTTGTTGTGTTACTCTGTCTGTCTATCCGTGCCGGGGATCTTATCATACCCTTTAACGCCACAGGTATTTTTCGATCTGATGCGCGAAATAAGATCACGTAAAACTGAAGATTCGAAAGCGACCAGCGGGCGAGCAAAAGACAGATGCAAGAAACGGAGATTGAAGTGTACACATCTTTAGGCAATAGGTGCATATCAAATAAATACATTGTTACTATTTTTACTATTTTTGGTTTGTTTTTGTTTTTATTTTTCTTTTTCATCTTATACTAAAAGTATTAATATTATTATTTTCCATATTTATTTATTTATAACAATAACGTCGCACACATAATCACTCATTCATGTTTTGTAGCTTTGATTAGATACCAAATTTATTAATTTACATCAAACTCATTTATAATCATTTGTTAACCTCCATTAACACTTATTTTATAAAATTATTTGTTTATTTACTTTTCTGCTTCTAATTTAAGGTCTATATTGGGGTAGAGGTGGCTATTATTAATATATTTAAACCTTTTTTTGATTAAATAAAATTAAATAAAATAACATTATCAAATTATAAATTAAATAGCTTTAATTAAAAGTTAAACAAATGTTATCACCAATTGTAAATTATCTTAAATTTTCCTATGAGGAAATCTTAATTTTTTCACAAATCTTTTATATGGCGACCATAGATCCAGTACATATAAATCTACAGTTTTACATTTTTTCTAAGGCTAAAGGAAAATCTTGAGTGGAAAATCTTTCACAGGTCTTCTATAGCTAGGTGTCTTTTTGCTGGTCTTCTTCTACAGGTCTTCTGAGACTAGAGGACTTATCACAGATCTGGGGCTGCAATAGCTTTAACAGGTCTTCTATGACTTGGACGCCTTTTACAGTCTTCTATGGCTAGACCTTTTACAGATTTTCTATGGCTTGCAGACTATTTACAGGCCTCCTAAGGCTATAAGAAGAGCTTTTACAGGGTTTCGATGGATTGAGGACTTTGTATATGTCTTCTAAGACTAGAGGACCTTTAACAGGTCTTCTATGGCTAGAACTCCTTTTTAGAGGTGCTCTATGGCTTAAATATCTTTTACATGTATTTTATGGCTGGAAGACCTTTCAAAGGTTTTCTATGGCTAGAAGACCATATTATAGTTCTTCTAAGGCCAGAGGACCTTTCACACGTCTTTAATAGCTTTGATACAGGTCTTCTATGGTTGGAATGTCTTGCAATAGTCTTCTATGGATTGGAGACTTTTTAAAGGTCTTCTATGGCTACAAGAACATTCGCAGGTCCTTCATGGCAGGAAGAAATTTTATAGGTTTTCTATGGCTATAGTACCTTCTAAGGGTCTTCTAAGGCTACAGGACCTTTTACATAATTGCTACGGTCACAGATCTTGTATGTTTGGAAAACCTTTCACTGGTTTCCTATGCCTAAAGGACCTTTTAAGATTCCTTTAAGCCTTTAAGGCTAGAGGACCTTTTGCTAGTCTTCTATGGCTACAAGACCTTTCGCAGGTCCTCCATGGCTGGAAGACCTTTTATAGGTCTTCTATGTCTATAACACCTTCTACGTGTCTTCTCAGCTGGAAGACCGGTTTTTCAACTAACTGGATGTCCCTCCGTTGGTCTATGAAGATCGGTCTTCAGTTGGTCCTATAAAAACCGACTTTCAGAAAGCTGGTGCTGGATTCTTGTTCTATGAAAATATAATATTTTTCATTTGACAGCTGCTGGCCCAGCTGTTTGGTTTATAAATAATTTGGTTGGTTGGTTTTTCAAACCGGCCTTCAGAGCTGGTCTTTACGCCTTCGACCTTCGATATTTTCTATAAGGACCGGACTTTAGTTAGTCTATATAAGGTCCGGCCTTGAGCTGATGTATAAATATTGCTCTCAGCTAGTTTGTCTGTATAAGACCGGTCTTGAGCTGGTCTATATTAGAACGTCCATTCTCTGGTCTATAAGATGTCATGAGTAAAACATAAAACAACAATTGTTTTTATAAAACAATTATTAAGTGAGTTACAATTCAATGATGGAAAGTTATTTCAAAATTCTTTTAAGAATATATTTTTCACTATTTTGATCATCTATGTTGTAAAGACACCCTTTAACTCATTTGCAAAAATTCTCTTCAGTTGGGCTACGAAAGGCCATTCGTCCATGTAGTCTACGCGTCTATAAAGAGTCTGTCTGACGCGTCTATAAAGAGTCCCCTACGGCTGAGTTGCTCTAGCCCCTTTTTTTACTATACTACTTCTACTTATACCAAACAATCCCTAAAAATTATAAACTTTTGAAACAAATCTAACTAACTCTTGCAAATTTAAGTCCAATAATGCTTTTAGCTTATGGATATACAGTTTGCTTGCGTAATAAATGGGCTGATATGTAAATATGCTTTTGTATTTGTTTTTGTGTTTTGGTTATTGTTAATTTTTAAACTGCTAAAATGTGTTTCAATCATTTTTATTATTCTTTCCTCATCTCATTATTTTTTGGGTTTCATGTTTTTTTTTGTTGGTTGGTTAGATTGTCTACATTCTATTCAAAATATATTTTCTCTTTATTGCCATAATAACTTTGTAAATACTCTATTAACAAAGTCAAAATTAGTATAAATTTTCGTACATCTATTAATTGTGTATTCTCTTTTTTCAATCCAAAATATTTAGGTATTTTATGATCTTATCAGGGATATATCAACACGTAAAAAACAACAACAAACCGTGGAACGTAAGCCGAATGAAACCAAAACTCATTGCTGCCAATTGCTGTAATAATTTAATAAAAAAAAAACAACCGACAAACACACACATACAACAACCACATATACATACATACATACGTATAAATATATGATTTTATGTTACTTTTATCTCTTTTTGTGTTTTACTTTTTTCTATTCAATGAATGCAAATTAAATATTAAAACAAATACGTACATAATTCATATTTATTGATTAAAATAAAAACACAGATTTAAAACGGAAATACATTCAGAAGAGAAAAACAAAAAAAAAAAAAAAAAACACTAAAACATTTTTCTATTTGTGCCCCCGTTAAGATTCTTTATAAATTTCTGTCAAAGCATTTCAAGCGAATTGTCAATTCTGTTCCTTCAAATTTATAACTTGGTTCGGGGTCCAAGGTTGATTTTCAGTTTCTATAGAAATCTAACAATAATCAGTTTTCTACAACTTGGAGTTAAGATTTTAAAAAGACTGCAAACATAAGCGGTTTTCCTTAATTATGAGCCACTACTGTTTTGCATAACCGAGACAAAGTCACGAGATTCAAAGCCCAAAAAAAAGCTGGAAATTTTCAGAAAACTGAGCTACAGACTCGTAATGCAAAATGTTTTTCTATACTTCTTATTCCCACTCTGTGAACCGAACAAAAAACAATAAATTTGTTTTAATTTGCAAATTAATTATTTTAAATCTAGTATTTTATTTTTAATAATTATTTCTGCCTTGTATTTGTAATTTTATTTGTTTTTAAGTAAAATGTACCATGTACAACAATCAACCAACCAACCAACCAACTACACTTTCATACTCATAATTCCAACAATGAATCAAACACACATGCTCGCATGTGTATATGTGTACAATATGTATGTATTTGACAAACATCCTCCGTTTTCTAGTAGTGCTCCTTAACATGGAAATGTGAATGAAAGTAATTCTGTTTGTATTAAAAATAAACAATATTTTTATTTCAAAATAAAATGAATACATTTTATGTAATTTTCTTAAATTTTTTGTTTAAGTTTTTTTATATATATATACAAATATACAAAAAAAAAAAAAAAAAAAAACAACAAATAATAACAAACATTTATCCACAAGAATTGCAATAAATATGTTTTTTTTTGTTCTTCTATTTTTTTTTCTTTTGAGCATAACTCTTTTTAGAAGCCTGCAAAGTTGCAAATGAAACGCATATTTACAAAAAGAAAAACAAAATCAACTGTGTAATCAATCCTATTTATATAAATTTTATAAGCTTTGTTTTCATTAAGTCTTAAAACAATAAAATAAAAATCAAAAAAAAATATTATTATTAAACTGATATTACCAATCTAAATAACCAAAAAAAAAAAAATAATAATAATAATAAAACCACACCTTCGACGGCAATGAATGCAAACAATTTTTATTTTAAATTTTTTTGTCGAAATATCTAAGCTGAAATAATTTATAAAATAAAAAATGATATATACAATAAAACCAAACAATATATGGTTTCATTTTTTTGAATCCTAAAATGAATAAATATAAATGAGTTAAATATATCAACGTAGCTCAACAAATTCCGGAGATATTCCGCTAGGTGAAGACAGTGGTCCATATTTGACAATTTCTAAAAACCATTTTCTAGAGACATAACTTCTTCAATAATTGTTAAGGTTTCATAACTGCAGGCAAACCCCATTAGGTAAATAGATCTATAAATAGAAGAAGGTTTCCATTGTAAAGTAACATAAATAGAGTGAGTAAGTTCGCCCTCTTCCACATTTGTATACCCATATAGCTACAGAGGGGGTATATCATTTGATATGACCAAAACGTGCCTTATCGTAATAACGGTTTTACCGTTTCAGGACATTTGAAATCGACCAAGGGTCCGTCCGTCTGTTTGGCTGGAGGGTTGGTGCGCACGATAACTTTCGGAGGGAGTATCCGATTTGTCCCAACTTGGTACATAGCAACAATATTGTCTACATAGATCGAGTTCGGAGATGGGCAACATCGGCCCACTCCTTCGTGTACCTCCTCCACAAAAGGTCAATATTTTCAAAGAAAATTATTTAATTCATAGGAAGAGAAAGGATCATTCGATTCGGTGCAAGGTCAGGTGGGAAAATGGATAATATGGGCCGACTCCAGCAACTACCTTTCTTCAAAGAATCAACATTTGGAATAATAATAACTCTTATAAAATGTGAAGAATAGGATTGTCTTCAAATTTCAAATTATTATATCGGTACACTACTTCTGTTACCTTCTCCACAGCGGGTTAAAGTTTTGAATGCCCACGAAGCTCGTAAAAAGAAACCTTAGAAACCAACACTGCACTCATTACCAAATTTCAGCTATCATTTCACCCAATACTCAAAATTAGTAATATATGCAAAATTAGTACCATTTAGTACGTTCCAAATTAAGCAAAGTTCGCGCACTTATTACACATTTTCAAAACCATCTTTATACATCAAATTTACTTTCCATTCTCGACTCTCATACCAAATATCAAGTTGTGAGGCCTATCCATTCTCCGAAATCCGAAGTTTTGTAGCACTTTCCGTAACCTTAAATTTCGTTCCATTCGTTCTCCGAAATTCGAAGTTTTGCAGCATTTCAGAACAATCTGTAACCTTGAATTTCGAACTTCCAAAAAGACTTTGGTACATCAATCCTGCATTCCATCAGTGACTTTTATTCCAAATTTCAGAATTCCATATCATTCCGCTTGGCCAATACGAAGTGAACTCTTCGTACTCTCTTGTAAAATTTCAAAATTCTAGTTTCAGCCGTTTCGTCTGGAAAGGATGAAAACACATAACCGTATTTCACAATGTTGAATATCAACGTATATTTTTATCAAAAAAGGAGTCCGCGTTGAAGAAGCAGCTTAGCCAGAACATACGGGAAAGGAAAACTAAAAAATAATTATTTTAATTTTAATAGACATCTTGGCCGATAATCGTGGTTCTATTTAAAAAAATCAAAAAAAGAAAAAATTGATTTTTAAATTTTGTAATATTTGATTAATAATTGCTTATGGAAATTATGTGATTTTTTGTTCTGGCAACTGTGCCGAATCACCGATCCAATGCATTTCTGTTATGTCGCCTGCCATCTGTTATCTGATTGAAGAATTAAAGCCCATATGCATTTTGTCCAATCTTTATAGTTTTATGTCTTTGGTTTATGCATATGGCAAAGACATAAAACTATAAAGATTGGACAAAATGCATATGGGCTTTAATTCTTCAATCAGATAACAGATGGCAGGCGACATAACAGAAATGCATTGGAAATTTTAGAAAAATATGCTATTCCGATATCGCCGAAATATGGCGGAAATACGCGAAAAAAAATATCAGGTATGATAGACATGCTCTGAAAAATCTATTCCAGAGCATTTCCTTGTACATTGAATCGATAAAATCAACAACAACCCTTAAAAAGCGACAGCTCTGTTAAACTATAACATAATGCTATGTCACGATATCGTGACATAACATACTTTTCCACTACCAACGCCATCTATTGAAGAAAAGTAACAATGTAATGTCCCATCTTATTATATTATATGTCTTTGCATAAACTGCTTTGTTAATAGTCATACTGATAGATGGCGCTGTGCAGAAAAAAGTAGCAAATGCTGCCAAGTTCGTTTGTAACTAAATTCACTGCAATTGAAATGTAACGTTGTACCAATGTTAGTGAACAAAAAGAATTTAATAAAAATAAAAACAAAAACAAAAATATAATTGTTTTCTATTTTTTCTCAATGAATATATTTTTATATTATTTCGCGATTCGAAAAATACATTTCGACAGTTCTTTTGCTGAGAGAATGAGACTCCTTGTCCGACAATTTTTGTGCAAGCTATTTACCTCCTATATCTTGAGAAATCACAAATCTCGTTGTTTTTTTTATAACTTACAACACTATGTGTTATGGGTTTTATAAGTTTGATGGGGCCAAACATTATGTAACACCTACAAATATTGTTTTCTGAAATAGGAAACTATGTATGGATCTTCCTATCTCGCCGAGCTGAGTCGTTCTAGAAATGTATGTTCGTCCGTCCAAGTTAAATTTTAATCACGCTACAGGTCGCAATTGTGGACCAATCCTTTTCCTTTTTATTCATTTACTTTACCATCATACAATTTGAAAAATTCAAAAAAAAAAAACAGTACTAAGAATAACAACTCTTAATGCAAACGTTTCCCGTTGATTCGTTCGCCAACGATACAGCTCGGGAACTCACAGCCGATGTACATTAAGGCAATCGTATTGTTTGTGTACTTCTGGCATTGAAATGTTTGTGGTGTTGTTTTGTTTGGAGTACAAAACGATTGAAAGCAAAAATTTAAAGTTTGTGTCTTTGGAAGAGGGGTACATTAATCGTTTCGTTTGTTTTTGTTCGCTGCACAGAACTCAAGCGCCGGTCATGGTGATGGTGTGGGCCACCATAACAGCCGATGGTCGCTTTCCGCTCGTATTAATCGACCGTGGCAGCAGAATAAATGGCGAATATTATCGCGAAAATATTCTGGAGGGTGTAAAAAACCTTGGGCACGCAAACAATTTTGCCGCAGACCTTGGACATTCCACTAGAACTCAGCACGCGCCACCCAAGAATGGTTACAAAATGAGGTTCCTCGCTTCATTTCCAACGCACAATGGCCACCAAAATCTCTGGATGCCAATCCGTTGAACCATTGTGTCTGGAATATTTTGGAATGCAAGGTTGGGACAAAAAAATACCAAGGTGTCGATCACCTCAAGCAAGCGCTTCGCCGGGAATGGACCAAAATACCGCAGAGCAACATTCGGGCAGCGTGTGACACATTGGCCATTTAAAGGCCATAATTCGTGTTAAAGGTGACCAATTCAAACAAATCTAAACTTATTCTAAAATTTGATGCTATTTCCGACATTTTTTTGCTTTCATTCAATAAAATTTAAAAAAATGTAAAAATTATGGCGTTTGACTTGCAGTTTTTTTTTATCTCACCCTGTATTTAGGGGTTCAAATGGACCAACAAACTAAAATTTTCCTGATTTTGCAGTCGCTTTACGGGTCACAATTAAAAATAAATTTTGTATAGAGATTTTGAATACCAATCAGCACGATAGAGAGGGATAAATATGATGCAAATGCCCCGGTCAAAAACCAAAGGTAACATTTGTGCAAAACTGTATGGTGGTTTTCCCATGTATTGTAGTGTTGTAGGGTATCACATGGTCGTCTCCGCACGACTATAGCCTGTGGTTTTAACAAATCAATTCTCTGCTGTTTTTTTTGCCAAAGATAATAAAACTACTGAGAAAGAAGTTTCAGAATAATTCTTGCAGGAAGGGCAAGATAAAATTAAGACAATAAACACAAATCTGTTTTTTTTCTTTTAGTTCTCTTTGATACACAAATTTGGTCTACTAAAATTGTATCATGATTACCAGCTTTCGATTAGCAGATATATTCATTTCGACGGACTGAAGTGTAGTTTTCACGTTTCCGTTATTCACATTTTCCGTTACTTTTTTTACTGTTAAGTTGTTATCTCTGAGCTAATGTTACAAATTTTACATGAATTTTTTTCTCAACACTAGCAAAAGTGAAGGAACATATATACTTAACGTGACCATACGTCCCGCTTTGGGCGGGACAGTCCCGCTTTGAGGTTATCTGTCCCGCTGTCCCCAGCGAGAGCAAAAATATCCCGCTTTCGAAAATACTGGATATTGATATTGATGAAAAATACATGAGTTATTTTTTCCCCGTGAACATATAATTTATTTGCATAGTTTTTTTCAAGCAACATTAACATTAAAATTAACTCGAAAGATTTTGTAATGCTAATGCTGGAGTTAATGTCGACGTGGTCGACGGCGTCAAATGTCAAAAAAATTGAATCGTATGAAGTTTTATGAGAGCAGTTAATCTTAACGCCGTAAGAAATTCGACGCCGAAAAAGTTCAATCTGTTTCAACTTTTTCGGCGTCGTCGACGGCGTTGACATTAACTCCAGCATAACAAGGGAAATCACCAAATTAAAAATGCTTATAAAAACAGAAAAAGTTTCTGTCACTCTGTCAGTACCCTAAGCATAGACGCTCTAAATTGTTCTGGTATCTTTTCATCGCGGAGTCGGAGAAGGCGAGCAAAGTCAAACAATTTATTTTCAATGTTAGTGATTGTAACATTACAATAATGCCTAAACGCAAGTTTACTTTTAACATTTCTTTGCAAAAAAAGTATCCATTTATAAAACAAAGAAGTGGTGAATCAGACGTTACGTGTGAAAAATGTCGTACTGATTTTAGTGTTGGACATGGTGGTGCCAGTGATATTGAGAAGCATTTAAAATCGGAAAAACACAAGCTTTCTGATCAAGCTGCCGCTTCAAGCTCGTCAATGCTTTCTTTTTTTAAAAGAACAAATTTGGCGACTTCCAAAGACTTGGATATAGCTGCAGCGGAGGGTGCGTGGGCGTA